TCCCAACTTCTCATTCTGGTTATTAAATCTTGGTAACAACATAAATTAATTGAAGACATTACAAAATTTTACAAATTCCAAATTAAGGACCAAATTGTTAAATCTGTTAAAATACTGTATACTCGCCATATTGTCACAATCACCTGGTCTTGTGATGGACGAGAGCAAGAGTTTGCACGAATAATGATGTGAAGTGGCCCTTTCTGCTCAGTAGTCTCCATAATGACTAATGTAATGTGATATAGGAGGAAATAGGAACAGGTTGTGCAGCAGACATTACACTGCAGAAATGTTCCAAAGTGATCTGCATGCAGACTTCACTAGAAAGTTGTATTTGTCAGCAAAACCAACTTGAGCATATTTCTCTTGGATTACAAAAGATGTATTCATTACAATGTAATAAAGCCACTCCACTGTAACTAGAAATTTTGTTGCCTCATTCTGAATTGCAGAATATGGTGCCATGTATATCTAGAAATTTGATTGAATTTGGAATTTCTATTTTGTGATGTAATTGAAGTGTTTACATGTTACTGTGTACATTCTGCTTTCATTGTGGTTTGAAATGCACTCATCAATTCTTTCTAATCCTGACATATAAAAATAATGTTGCATTTCCCTTTTAATGTGCAATGACACATAATAATAATAATAATAATAATAATAATCAGGTAACGAATGCTAAATGTTTATATATTAGTTTTGTACACTAACTAAAAAGTAATGTTGCACATTTGATGAACAGTATGTGCATGAGACAGAGGGCACACTTTAACCCACACAATGCTGCTTTCAACAATTAAACAAAAAATTGAGATCTGTTTATGTATGTCAGACCTGAAGAATTTAACACCCAACACATGCGCTCTGACCCCAAGCTTCTCTCCCTGTCTGTGTCTGTGTCTCCATGGAGAAAAGCTGGGGTATGTGAAAAGACGAATTCCTAACGCAAGAAATTGTATAGGGCTAATAAAGAAACATTATTATTATTATTATCCCACATGTTGTCGGTAAATTTCATGAAAACCTGTGGCTGAAATGCTGGTTGATGGAGTTATGGACTAGATAAACAGCATAAACTACTGATGAAGTGGAGAAATACAAAGAGTTCTACGCCCCCAGCAGTCTTTCAAACCAGGACATTGCAAAAAAGATTTGGTCAGAAGAATGATATTTCATGTTATTTCATTTACCATTGGTGCAAAGTGGGAGAACTGTGTTTTGTAATCTATGTGATGGTTATCTAATGAAATTAAAATATAATTTAATTAAACTGTAAATTTGTTGGTAATTGTGCTATATTATTGACAACACAAGACAAAATGTACAAGAAGCTATAGAATCCTGTGTTATATGTGTAACACAGAGCAGATCAGAGCAGAACATGCTTCAGGGACACAGCCGATGTAGAATATTACTAACTGCGTGAACAGTGTTCTGAGAAGGGTTGTGAAAGTGCTCTTTGTTTCTCTGTCATCAGTTTCTGCCAGGACAAGGTGACTTTGAGGCTAACTCAGACTGAACTTTGAAATAAGTTCTGTTTGTAATATTTATAATAATGCTGGGTGGCGGAAGTGTTTGTAGGGAGGGATGCAGTGTGCTGAAAAATGTTTATATTTTTGTATATATTTATATTTGTTAATCCGCTGTGGTAAGAAAAAGGTTGGGAGACAGTGATCTGTATATTTCATGAAGGAAAGAATTAGAAGTGAGATTAGATTTTGCATGGAGAGCATATATTACAGTATCGCTCACTGGTTATACTTCTCTTTAAATAGTTTACAAAACTGACCCGGACGTACTGTTGCATGAGTTCAGTTATGTAGAAGAGCCAAAAACACTTGAAGGAGACGAAACACTCAAGCAGATGCTAATCATAATTAAATACATCTGTTTCTAACCACTTTATCCAGTATAGGGTTGCAAGGGAACCTATCATACCAAGCAACTGGCACTAGGCAGGATACACCTTGGATTCCCATCCAACAGCCCATCACAGAAAAGATGCAGACAGAGACACATTCACACTAGAGCCAGTTTTCCCAGAAACCAATTAACCTACCAGCTTGTATTTGGACTGTGGGAGGAAACCAAAGCACTTGAAGGAAACTCACACAAACATAGGGAGAACATACAAACTCCACACTGATAGCATTCCACTGGAATTGAAACCAGGGCCTCTGCTGTGTGAGGCCTCAATGCTAACCACTACAACACCATGCCTCTCTAATTAGATTCATATGAGATATGAGATATGATATGAACAATGTTAATGCATTGTTCATACAATAAATGAATCAAAGTAATTTACAAGAAAGAGAAAGTGGCAGAATATTTTAGAATGAAAATCTGTGTATAGTTTATAAATAATCATTTCTACCTTTTGTAATGTGTCACTGCTGTAGATAATAAAACATAAAAATAAACCTAAAAGCACACAGAAAACATGGGCAAGCAGGCCAGCAGATGTGTGAGCACACAGCATGCTGTGTGCAGTAAGCAGCAGAGACAGGTGAGCATGGCAAGCATGGTCCAGACCAACACAGCTCAGAGCTGTAAACAGGGGCAAGCAAAGTTCAAAACTAAGAGACACATTCCAAAGTACCAGAGGAGAGCCAGAGAATGAAGTCAGGGCAAAGCAGGGACCAGAATCCAGGGAGCAAACACAAAAAGAATTTGGGACGAAGTTAGAGATGTAGCAAACTCTATGATAGATTTCCTAAGCACTGCTAGATCACAGCTTATGTAGTCTTGAACCACCTGGTCAACAACTTCTGTCACATTACCACAGTAACCAGCTCTGAATGTCAGGTGGCCAGCTACTGTACAAATACTACCTTGCCATTCTGCTTATCCATGGTGACAAGCATGACACTTTTTAAATAATGTTATATGCCCATGCAGAAAAACGAAAAGAAAAAAACAAATTTTGCCTTCAACTGATTTCTGTCCTTGTAGTGCAACATGCAAACCTATTTCTCTACAATATTTCACAATTATTCCAATTACTTTACTACTTCCACCCATTGCAGCTTGACATTACCTTGGGCCTCTTCCATTCAACAATTCCAGGTGGGGGTTTCTTGTAGAACACAGACTCATTGGTGGTCGGGAATTCTGGATCTTCAAAGAGCTTTTTGCTCTCTATGCATTGCTGCTTCAGGACAGAGTACCTCTGTTTTTTGTATGGATGTGAAGACGAGAACATTGCTCAGGCTGCAGTCCCAATCTGAAAAAAATATGATAGAACTTGTCATAACTCTAAAGCATCATCTTCTGTTGCTTAATGGAACTTGTACTGTAAATCTGAGCAGAATGGGGAAAACAAAGTACGAAAAACAACTTAAATAGAAACATTTTAGACCAAAGGTCTTCAAAACGAAATTAAAAAAAAACATCTTGGTTCACAGATTGGAGACAAAGCATATATAAAAAATAGGAGCAAATAAAAACACCAGTAAATACCTAAAGACATTATATTCCATGGACTCCACATAGGTCTACGTAGACCCTGTTTAGCAGTGTTCATGAATTCTTAATGCAATTGCAAACCATTTTTGCAGATAGTGCACATAATTCAGCAGGACATGTGGGCAAACAGATTCTTCACACTAAAGTGATTCAGCAATATATTTTAGCACCAACCTGAGAAGTAAGTGTTAGGTCTGCCTCCATAGTCCTTAATTTGTACCCATAACCTTATGCATATTTATAAATTTCCATATTGCTTCCACATTGTTCTGATATTGGTACATTTACATTGTTGTACTACATTGTTGTATAGTGCTGGGCCACAGTCAGACTGCTGTGCAGAATTATGTTAGCCCCAGAAAAACACAGCAAATCATGTTGGGTTGATGCTGGCCCAGTGCTTGCCTGATTGTTTTCTTTATAGGTAAAGCCTGTGAAAAGTTCTTTCTTGAGATATTATCTTCAGCCCTTTTGGAAAAGTGTCACTCCACAAGTACTTTTACACAATTCTACATTTTGACTTGCAGTTTAAGTCAGATCTGGCTTTCAGAAATGTTTGCTTTAAAACAGGAAAGTAAAGGGAGCCAAGTCTGCAGCATGCAAAGAGATTTCTAAAACAGCTGTCATCCTGTGGGTATACTAAAAGGTTCAGAATAATTTAATGACTAAAATCAATCTAGCTGAAGGGTGTGGTATAGGTGACCTATCCTCCCACTATTTTGAGAAAATAAAATAATTTTAAATTCAGTAGCCTATGAAAAGCGAACCCTTAATTCTTTTTATACTGTATACTTAGCAATGTTATAGTACAGATTTCTGTAAAGATTCATGAAAATAATAAATGTTCGTTTTACTGTTAATGGCTGATTGCAAATAATGTATATTTTTCCATGTTGCACTGACATGTCTAAAACTATTTTTCACAAATCACTCTGTGCTCCTGCCAAAAATAATGGATTCATTTGGCAAACTGTGTTTTATATGGATTCATTTGGCGTGCTGTAATTTATATAAATAAAACGTCACTGCAATATAATTCTGTGAGTCAGACAACACAAATGAAACTCCATCTTCTGCAAAAGGTTTTAACAATAGTACTTCAGTTGTTCAGGATCTTCAGTTAAAAAAGACATGCCTCTTTTTACTTTCTCTTTTTGCCACTTTAACACTTTGCCTGGGTGCCACATGAAGTGTACTGTATGTTTTAAAGTTACTGTATGTACTGTATGTATTTAAAGTTTTCGTGTCTGATGACCAGCACCATTGCCACAGATTGAAGATGCGATAGGTAATTTAATAGTACCACACAAACTATTACAGCATTATTATTATTATTATTATTATTACCACCCTATCCAAGCTCAAATCCAATTTAGAGTCTCAGGGGATCTGGAACTTATCTCAGCAAGCAAGACACGCAAGACAGGATATACCAGTCCATCACAGGGTGCACACATACACAGCCATACTCACTGTAGGGTCAGTTTCCCCAGGTGCCAATTAGCCTCCCAGCATGTCTTTGGACTGTTGGAAGAAACCTGAGCATCTGGATGAGACTTACATGAACACTGGGAGAACATACAGACACCCTGCAGAAGGCGCTCCAGGAACTGAGCCCAGGGCCCTGGTGCTGTGACGCTGCCATGTTAACCATTGTTAACAATCCCACCGCACTCAACATACCAAATAGACATGAATAAAAGAATGAAAGAACACATGGTGTTCTGTTTGTGTGTCCTTCTTCTTTGTGCTTGGTACAGTGTCTTATTCTGACTGCATCAAAAACTGTCATTGTAATAAGCCAGGGCTGTGTACTTTGGTACTGTGTGATTTTCTTTCCAAACCTAACCTAAACTGAACTTCTGTTCATGCTTTTGACATCATGTAATACTTGTCACTGATATCACCAGAGCTAGATTTACCACCTCAGTCTTTGAACACATACAGTACAACTGAGAATTAAAGGTAGCCAATGAATAAGAACTTTTTTGTCTTTCAATGAAAGCTTCTGAGTGTAGTGCAGAATTTGAAAGTTACTTTTTAGAAAACAGGAAAGAGCTTATGCTCTGAAGTAAAACACAGCTGAAAATCCCAGTTTTATAAAGACATAAATGAGCCCTGGTGCTCAAAATTCTAGCAGTAATCTTTAACATTAGAAATCAGCAGACACCAAAGATGTCTAATTATCTCATAAAACCAAGAAAGGGATCAGACAAAATGATTGAATAATATGACATTTGAAGGCGCTGTTGTCATTTCAGCAAGCCTGTTTAAAGAAGATGACATCGAAGGATCTACGTTTCCTTTATCTCTCTTTAGTCTGCCTTAGAGTTATCACCTGGAATTTCCCACAGCTATCTCAGTTCAACCTTTTTTTTTTACAATAGATGTCTTACCACACCTCCTGACTGAAAAACCACAGTGTCCATACTATAAATAAGTGTGCAGGTCCCTGTGAAAATGAATTTGCTCTATTCTGTTATCAGAAGAAAGAAAACACCTGTAATTACAACTTGTTTGTGTGCTTGTGAAAATACAGGTTCCACATAAAGAAACTACATATGCTGTATTGGATTCTTAGTATATATACTGTAAACTGCTTATCCGGAGTAGTTTAGAGAGAGTGCCCTCAATGTTTTTTTTTCTGCACTACTTTTAGATGCAAAGAGAGACCATTTATTCACATTAGGAGCATTCTACTTACAGTATAAAAGCCTTTTGAGACTTTTATTTGGAATCTCTTTTGATTTCTTCTTGCTTATATGTGATGCAGATTTGTAGTAGTCAAGGAGTTGTTTGGGAACTTAAACATAAATGTTCTGACTTTGTATGACACTTTCATAGCATGCTTTTTCACACTGCTACAGTATATTATAAATGGGTCATTTTTATTGCTCAATTTAAAATATACATTTACTTGTAAAAATACTGTGTAGGACAAATTGATTGGAAAGAAGGAAATTAAAAAAAAGCACAAAGAGAAGGCTATCAAAGCATTCTAGTAAATTTATAGTCACACATTTTTCTCTACAATTATTTGTTTGCTTTAAACAGATGGATGAATTTATTTTATTTACTCCGGATCTGCAAATGAAAATGACTAATTGGTACGCTCGTATACAAGTTTTCACTAGCGATAGAGCATGCAGTGAATGACCAATTATCAAATTCCTGAACATTCCTGCAAAAGTCCTCCAGCACACTTAAAAACAAATGATGTAGTTAAAGGAGCACAAAATGGAATTTTAAGTGTCTTTTAGTTTAGTTCTTAAATTTGTGAACTGAATAGATCTGGTGGTAAGACTCCCTGGAAAAAAGTACGAAAGTAAATTTAATTTTAACTAAGCACTGCACTTAAAATACCAGATGTTACTATGCTAGTAATAGAGTATGTTGGGCATTACCATGTTTGGCAAACTATTTTGTCCTATAAAATGACAATAAAACCTAAAATCAAACTGTTCCTAGGAGATGTAATTTTAATTTTAAAATCCTTAGAGAATCATTTTAGTGTTGTCTTCCTGAACTAAACCAACCCATGTTAAATACAGTATTTAACAGTTGTTAAGTGTGAGACCATAGCCACAAAACAAATTCATACTGTGCACATTCACAAACTGTGGAAGTAAAGCAGCAACAATTATAGATAAAGTATATTATATCATTTTTTGTTTACATATATCTTTATTTGTAAACTAACGGTCTTATTCTTGCTTAGTCTATGAAAACTTTCCTGCTGCAAACAAGAATTCCTGAATCTTTTCCAAGGGTGCAACTTCTTTAAGATAACCGTGCTACACTAGTGTGTAGTTAGGAAGTGCATAAACAATACAAATACATAACCGACAGGGGACATGGGAGTGCAGAAATAAAGGAGATATAATGGAAAACATACTCAGACCCTAGCAGTTTTAATTTTTTTTGCTTCAAAGCTTGCTGTAATGACATTTTGAAGTAAAAAAGTATTGATTATTCACACCCTTTGCTGTGGTCAACCTAAATCTATTTACTGTAGGTGCACAAAATTACTTTCATCGGCTACACAATTAGTCAATTGTCCTCTGTTTGTGTACAATAATAATGATTCTCACGTTATTAGAACAAATACATCTATCTCTCTAAGGTCCATCAGTCAGGTAGTAAATTTCAAGCAAAAAGTCCACCATGAAGACCAATGGGCTTTCAAAACATCACAAAGGTATATAAAGACAGAGATCAGAAGAGATTATAAACATTTGAAAGACCCTTTATCTTGCCTAAGGCAGTGTTTAAAGTTGATAGAGACTTACCCAAAACAATTGTGCTGTAATTGTTGCCAAATATGCTTCTACCAAATATCAAGCTCATGGGTCTGAATACTAATGTAGTTAACATATAATATCTTTTTTCTCATTAGATGACATTTACATTGACTGTAACACATCTTTCCATAGAACATCTTCAGTGTGAGCATTCAGGTTTTGAATAAGACATTGAGTTTAAATAAATGTTTATGTAATTCTTTTAAATACAGGCACTCTGTATTTATTGGGTGTACCCCAGTAGCGTTGTCGGTGTCTGGGATAAGATACCCAGCCATTTTGTTAAAGCTGATATTTTACTTTCTTTTTAAAAAGACCTAAGAGCAGTTAATGTAATTTCCATGAAAGAGGTCATATATTAGTGTTTATATCAGAAATATTATGGCCTAATCAAATAACACAAATCAAGACATCTTAATGTTTTGATTAGCTACAGTATAATGACCAGATGGGCACACCTTAAAAATAATAAATGTAACAATTAAGTGAAGAACCAACTCCTTGTCAACTGGATTGCCTCCTACAAACCTTCTGCAATCCTATTTTACATTTAATTTTTCATTTTAACATTCTCTGCTCCTACGTTTGATAAGATTTTAAGTCTATTACAAGATAAGATGAGATTTGGAAAATGCATTTATTTTCATAATTTGGAAAATTTAAGGATTTTCATATATGTAATGAATGAATTTAAGAAAAAAAATAGAGAACATCCAGTGATGCTTTTTCCTATTGTCATCATATTTGCAGTGCTTTGAATATATAGCAGTCAAAATGACTGCAGGTTTGCATATACTGTAACTCTAGGTCTTCTAATTCTAAGAAATAAACCATTTCCTATTCAGTAGTTACATTTTTTTATTTATTCTCAGAAAAGCTATTCATTGTTTGACTTTACAGTACATGCACTTTTCACTGACAGCATTCTGTCTAGTATACTGTATCTGTGAGACTTCTACATAAACCGCTAAAAGAAAGCATGAAGGAGCTGGTCTTTATACTTTAATACTTACTTTAAGAAACAAGGCTAAATACTGTATGTTGGTTTCTTAACACACAGTTCAACAGGAATGGGACCTGCAGTGATCCCAGAATTACCATGGGAAATAACGGCATTTCCTTTTTATAAGACTGAAACCTTGACTGTTCTAAACATGCCCAACAGGAGTCTTCTCTTCTTAAAAGGAAATATCCATATGAATTTGTTTCAATAAGCACATATGTTTCTTCTGTATCAATGACAAAACATGGAGAGATACTGTAAAACTATTTTAACATAACTATATATTCTTGTAAACAATAACCAGTATCAACTAATTTATTTTTGTGTACTGCAATAGATGAGTACTAATGTACATTGAAATCCATCAATATACTACTGTACTGAGCTTAGGCAGTACAGTAGAAAGTGCTGGCATACAGTAAAATTAAAGAATGGTAACACTTTACACTTTATTACATATGAATGTTCTTTTAATGCTTTATAGCAATTTATTAAAAGGTCAATAAATGTTTTAATTTATTCAGAAAGAATTACAAGATGCATTGAAATCTGAAGAAAATCATAAAATGTTTTTATATGTGGTGAATTATCCAGCAAGCCAATTTGTCTATTGAATCACACATTTGAATCCCTGTCTGAATCGTGCACCAGGAATAAAAATGTTAGTTTTGTTGCATGTGATTTTAAGTGAATAATAAGGTAAATGTTTGGTTTTATTAAATCTGTACTTTTAGTATTCAGTCATATTCTTGAGGTTGACAACATAATGGTTTGACTGAAAACTTAGTTAACAAGTTCCTACATGCATGCCATTTTTGTGTATCACATTTTGTATAATAAACTGTAAATGTATTCTGAGAAATACAGAAATTTCTATTATTGAAATAGCAGGTTATAATTTTTGTGGTGGCTTTTGTGTAAAATTGTATTTTGTTATGAAATACAGTAAATTGGAACAGAAAAGAATCAATGCTATATATCTATTCTTTCACTAAGTCATGTGTCATGACTCTTAACACTATAGTTACTTCTTTATCCATCAATAAAAGCTAATTATAAAGTGTGGATATTAAATAGTGAATTAATATTCAAACAGAATGGCTTAAAATATCTCACAGACAGTCATGCTTAAGTATGCATGCAGCTTCATCTGCATGTGAATGATCTTATTTCTTCTATTAAGAGGATACTCCCAGAGCATTGTAAGATACATGAAGAAGTCCAGTCAAAAACCTTTTTTCCCACTTAACTCAATCCAAATTGAACAGGACATACATCTCATAAAAAATCCACGAATACACATGGAAAGAGAAAAGTAACCAGAAAGGATAAACATTCTTACCTCTCTATGTACAGGATGACTGAAGACTCAAAATATGTTGAACAGCCTCTGTAAAACTGAGCAGACTAGCAAGAGTCTCCACACCTTTCTTATTTGGGGATGTACTTTACCAGTGTCTGCAGGGAGGTCCTCAGGGTCTTCAGGGTTTTGCTGCTGAAACAATAAGCACTGCAAGAGAACTGTGAATTGTTTTCTGTCTCCAGTGCCAGCATGTATCAGGGTATTTTCAACTATGTGGAGTAAAACCTCACTCCCCCAAACTGGTTTGACAAGTCAAGTCACAGGGCAGGGAAGTATTATGTAAATACTTGGCATACTGTTTCATTTCAGTTAAGTGTTGGGAGATTGCAGACACAGTCTACGAAGAATGAGGAGCTGGTTTTAAAATGCCCCCGACTCACTACAGGACATGAGATCTTCAGTACTTAAAGTATATGTAAAAATGTAGAATTTCAGAAACCTGGTGAAAAGACGGATTCCAAAAAAATGCAATTTTTTACTTCTTCATAAGATTAGAGAACAAACACGTGTCAGCTTGTCTGTACAGCTCAGTTTAGAGCTTATGAGATCACCCTTTGAATCCAAGCTACTTTGTATACCAGGATCCAGCTAAAGATCTCAACAAATAATATTTAATATACTCCTAAATATAATATATAATATAATATTTAATATACTCCTAAATATCATTACAAAGTAGTTATTGCTCATTTTTCATGAAAAACATAAAATGCTCTGTTACAGCTTTGGAATGTCAGCCTGTTTGTGACAGAGTCTTGATAATAATTGAAATAATTATGGCTATTGATTTATGTCATCATGATTTTTTTGTACACGTCATTCATTTAAAGTTGGCTTTACCAAACAGGAGAAATGCTTTATTGTTGCTTTTTAATTCAGTGAATATGACCAGTACGTTGAAGTTTCTCCAAAAGTTGTATCAATCCTCATTAAAATCAGGGAGGCATTGGGGCACATTGGTAAGTATTGGTGACTTGCAGTGCTGAAGTCCTGGGTTCAATTCTAGTTCTGGAATGCTACCTCTGAGGAATACTTCCTGTGCCCATGTGGATTTCTTATTTCAGTGCACTGGTTTCCCTTCCAGGGTGTATCTTGCCTTGCGCCCATTACATACAATAATAGCCTTTGTCTCCCCTGTGACTCTAAATTGAATTAATAGATTGGACAATAGATGAATGGATCATAAAGATCTGTCATCGATTACTATGCATTGCCCAGTGGGTGCTAATTTAGTTTACTGGGGCTATGTTTAATATGGATTTTAATTAAAAAGTATTTTATATTTGCTTTAAGCCAGACCAGCAATTCTTCTTTCATTTTGTTTTTATCTGTTTTCCCAGTTCTCTCAAACCTTCCTTTGTCATTTTTATTCAACACACTACAGAGTAATATTGTATATGTACTGTATATCAAAGATTTACAAAGATTCCCAAATGAAGAAATAAGAACAACTGCATGTAATTTACAATCATGTAGCCATTCTTTTAACCATTTTTATAGCTTCTTATACACCACAATCCTATGACAGATGAGGTTTTGATGTAGGATGCCTTTTGTGTATAACCTGAAGACCCTCATATGAACAGAAGAAAATAATCTGTTGGGACTGGTTGAAACATGGGGCAGGCCGTGTAAGGAGAGTATGAGAACTCAACATAGGAATAGCAAAGCCCTAATATCATATGGATCAAAATTTTAATTTCTCTGGTCTTAAAAGGGCAAAGTTAATTATTTGCAGCAGTGATGGAAACGTACTTTGCTGAAGGCAGCTTAAGCTCATCACAGATCCCTTAAAATTAAGTCAAATCCCAGAGTAGTCTCATATCTCATATGTTCACCACCTGTAGTAACATTATAAAAAGTTGTTTCACAGAAACAGATCGCCACTGCTTCTCATGGAATAAATTATCCACCACCTCGGCACAGAACAATAGTAATACAGAACGTACTGTATATTTCCATCATTTATGTAAGCAGTTCAACAGCTTAATTTTCTCATTCAACATGTGCAGAATGCCAACAGAAGACTATATGCTATTTAGTGTTCAACAGTCCAAAGAAGAAACACTTTATTTTGGATTTCTCTGCAGCAATCATCTCAATGTTATGTACAAACAGTATACATTGTTATGACACAAGAAAGGGTACAAAATGGCTAAACATTGATCCCTTGTGATAAGGGACTGTAGCTTGTTTGAAAAGGAACTAATGGACTGTAAAAATAATCGTATAAAAATAAATAATCCATCCAATCAAAAAGTAGAATATAAACTCAAGACAGTGGTCAGAGATAATGCACAGTAGTCATGATGCTTCTAGAGATGGTTCCACTGGAGACTTTGTGTCTTTGTGACTTTGTGTGCAGAATTTACAGGGTTTTTTTCTTGGGAGTGAATATACAGTACCAATATTTGCACCGATTGGTCAGCTAACCACATAGTGGGGTTCATGTCTTGTACTCAGACCACAGCAGTTCCTGAGATTTATTATGGTGAGAATATGACTCCATGTTCACCAGGAAAATTGGAGGCAGGATGGGAGCGTAGAATTTACCTTTAGCTGAAAGACAATAACGTGACAATGGATCATAAATCGTAAGGTGAGATAAGTAATGCTTAATGACCAAGCAAGGTAAACCTTGACTTCAAACTAAATATTATTTAGTAACAGCTATTATAATTTCCTAACTTTCAAATGATAAATGGGCTAAGCTATTATAATTTCCTAACTTTCAAATTATAAATGGGCAAAACATTTCTAATAAAAAAGGGACTGAACCACTTGGCATAAAATATGTTGAGGTTTCAACTTGATATGTAAGATTCTGCTAAAAACACATCTCTGACATAAAAAAAAAGATTATTTAATCCTGTGCCAGTATGTTGCTAACATAAAGAAGGGGTGGTGTGGTGGCTCTGTGGCTAAGAATCTGTACCTCTGGCTGGAAAGTTGGCGGTTCGTATCCCGCAGACGGCAGAATAATCTTTCTCTGTTGGGCTCCTGAGCAAGGCCCTTAACCCCAACTGCTCCATGGGTACCATATAAATGGCTGACCCTGCGCTCTGACCCCAAGCTATGTACAGTATATGGCCAATAAAGTGAAAGTGGAACCACATCAAATATTGTATGTTATGATATGTACTGTGTTTGATACAGAATGGAAAGGTTTTCGTTAGAACTAGGGGAATGTACTTACTTCAGGTTAGCTGTGAGAAAGAGCTATAAATATTTCTCTACTTTGGGTGGGGAGTATGAAACATGCTACTCAGCCACATTGTCGAAGGTGATACCCTGGACTGTCTCCAGAACAATTACTGTAACAAAATGGGCTAGATAGGTCAAATGACCTTCTTTGGTTTGGAACATTAGTTTATAAAAATAAAAGACTAAAACATTTTAAATCATTCATCTATAGCAGATAATTGGATAATTGTTGTTTGCTGGGAGTCTGTAATATATGTTTACATGGAGTTTTGTTTGTTTAAAGGCTTGTCTTTGAATTCTACTTGTTGACAAAACAAGGTTTGCAGACTTGAAGCAGTGGTGATGGTAGATGCTAGACCTAGGTGTATGAGGTTTTAGTATGTATTCTGCTTTATGCTGGATTAAAAGCATAAATGTCCTGGTCTGGAAAAAAGTGTACTATCTTCGCAGTTTAGATACAGTACAGCCTGGTGAGAGCTATCCTTTTGAATTTATTTTTTCAGTTTACAGTTTCTTGTGTTGAATCTGTACAATAAAGCCAGAAACTATTGCTGAACCTTAAATTCTGTGGAGTAACAAAGTTGCGAATTATTGTGATCATTAATACAATACCACTGCTGGAGATCGTAGTTACAGAAATTATTCAGTGGAAAACATTCTGTGGATTTAGCATCAGAGGAGTCACTGTACTCTGGTGCAGAAGAAGAATCTGTCTCTTTAAAATCTTTTTAAAAAGCTTATTTTTTCCATTATAAACAACAGGGGTGAATGCCAATACAATTTAAACTGCAGTTACATTGCAATAAAACAAATAAACCTGACTCAGTCTTTTTGCCATAACAAACTAAGACCACCTCGTGAGAGGCTCAGCCCTGTTAAATTAAACCAAATTCTGAAGGGGAGTTTATATAGAAGTATTACATATGCAAGTGTCACGCTCAGTTAAAAACTTGAATAAACCTACTGTTAATGTGCCCTTTTTTATGCTACAGTATGTTATTTTTAAAAATATCTGTAATTCATTATCCTGAAATGTATATTATAAGGGTTTTGTTTTATTTCGTTTAATTGAAGAGAGATATTTATTTGGTTCTTTGCAATGTCTGCGATCGTTTCTTTTTTATGTTTTTAAAACCACATGTGATACAGGCTAATTTGATAAGAATATTTCTGAACAATGTGTATGTGTAGACTCTGCTGTAAGTTATAGTGTGAACATTTATGTTTAGCATCTGATTTCTTGCTACCAACTGCATTAGTATCCTAAAATACTAAAGCAGTTAAAATGAAGCATTGGGCTGGAAGCTTATTAGATTCAGCTTTAATTCCTTTTCTTAGAAGGCTGTAGTTTAAATAATATTTTTATGTGCTTTTGGAAATGTTTAAAGATAAAATTATTCATTTATGATAAATATTAGTGTATAACACCCAGTCATAAAGTGCTTTATGATCTCTTCAGAGTTACAAAGGGAAATATCATTATTTGCATTATAAAAATATACCTAACTGGGGGTCCCACTACACAAAGTCTCCTTTTCTTTGCAGCAACCATGTGTGATAGTTTGACTCTGGAGCATAGGTTTTCATTAATGTCTGAGTATTTGTCTCACATCGCAATGTGCACCGTCCTTCTGAATGCAGGAATGGGGCAATACTGGAATGCTGGAAGATGTTTCCCCACTTCAATATTGTATGTATGCCTGAGAGGACAAATAATGCCCTGGATAATAGCCACTATTTTTTTACTGAGATTATTGTAGGAAAAGACTTGGAAAACACATGGTTTCCAAATTTGGAAATTCTAAATATGGCATTAAGAGATTTTTTTACAGTCCCAGATGTCTGTTACATCCAAATTGCTTGGAGCTATTATGCTACTATGCTTACAGTATATCTGGTGTAATACACTAAAAGAATACAACTGAACTGAATGAATTATAAATGAATCAAATCAGTGCAATACAAACCAGACATCTGGTTGGGTTCTGATCTTCTAGTCCCCAAGTAGTTTTAA